GGCAGCCACTAGCCAAGTAGCTCCTGAGCACATGAGGTGTTGGCTGGCGTGGACTGAAATGCGCTGCAGATATAATGCGCACACCTGACTTCGAAGTCAGCTAGTATGAAAAGAAGAATGTAAAGTATCATATTTTTTATAATGATTATGTGTTGAAATGATAATTTCCTGATTTGTTAGTATAAATAAAATATATTTTAAACATTATATCTGTGGCTACATTATATTTCTATTGGACAGTGCTGCTGTACGTTTTAGACACTGCCACTAAATTATTCTTCCTAAAACATCAGTTTCATCTTGCCATTCCGGCTTCTTGCCAAGTTTTTTTTACTATGTCAAACTGTTAAAGGGCTCTCAATAATTTGATTACAACCTATATATCCTGAAATATTTTTCATTCCCACCTAGTGGTTCTCTGGATGCCCAAGAGCAGGTTATTTCCATGCTGACCTAAACACCTTCGTTCAGGTTGTACATTCTACCTAGAGTTGCTCTGGCCTCCCCCTTCTCCTTATCAAAGAACACTCAAGCGGACCACTTCCATAAAGCTTTTTTGTTTGTATCTCAAACTAACATTCTGCCTTATTTCATTATCTGTTGATTTTTATATGTGTTAAATCTCAGCCTTCCAAGTGAACAAGAATATCCTTGATGGCAGAGCTCATGTCTGTACATTTTTTGCAAATCTCTGCTATACATGTATTGCTAGCATTTAGTTGTCCTCAGTATATCCAGACCATTGTTTGAATTGAGGCTTGAAAAATAGGTGGCAAGTGGGTCAGATAGATGAAAGAGGAAAATGAAAGGCACCAATGAGAAGGGAATAAATTATGTAAGAATTCCATCCTATTTCCAATCTTCTTGAAAATTCAGAGGATTATAGGAAAAGTTTTAGAGCTATGATGATTTTATGTTTTGGGGTTTTTTTTTTTGATTTTTACAAAGAAATTGTTTTTCTGAGGATGATAAAATGATGTTACCTTCTCAAATGAATTTTTTAATCCAGTACACTTTATGTTTGCCTCTAATTAGCTTCTTACCATGAGAACTATTCTTGCTACATTAAAATAATTCTGTGCTCCATTAGAACCTGGAACATAGTCTTGATATAGTGATTTTTTTAAGTCTACAAATTCTAGACATAGTACAATTACTTAACTACATTTAAAAATTATCCTACCACATCCAAGTTTCTCAATAACAACATAGGCACTTTCCCTTTAAACATGTTTATTTTTTTAATATCTCTGTCTCTCAGCTCTTGAATGTAATTTCCAGAAATTTAAAAGAAGTACTCATTATAGAATGAAAATCTTCTTAACTGATGAATTCAGACAAAAACTCCACTTGGCAGATGCAC